TAGTTTTTCAGGCATTCAACGATTTCGTTTTGTTCCTTGTTTAATTGATGTTCTGAATGAAGTGTTTCAAAATGATTCAGCCATTCACTTGGTTGTGGGCTTTTCTTAGTTTCATTAAAATCAAGATCGTCACTGATATTTTTTAATGTTTTCCAAAATAGCAGTGGATCGTTGCTAGCATTTTCAATTTCTTGGATTTTATCGAAATGGAAATTTTTCTTTTTTATTTCTAAAGTGCTTTTATAGTCTTTCAAAGCAGTATGGTATGCACTTCTAATTTCAGTGTTGTTTGGATCGCTATGTTTCTGATTTGCAAGTTTTCTAAGCTGGTGTCTTTTAAATCTACAATCTTTATCAAACCATTTTTTGTTTGCAACATTATTAATTTTTCGTCTATATTTCTTCTTTTTGATTTTTAAGAGATTTTTTGGATGCAAGGTTAATAATGTTTTCAAATTCATTGACACATTTGTTTATGCCCTCTCTGTCAGAAGAGAAATCATTTTCAAGGAATGTGCTTAGTTTCTCTTGTAGTTCATCTGATTTTAACGCTTTTTTAAAATTCTCATTTGATTCATTGTTCCAAATATATTGTAGTGGTAATTTTGATATTGGGGGTTGTAAGGGAGTATTATTAATAGTGTTAGTGGTTTGGTGTAAGTTAATCCAGGTTATAACTTGACTATGGTCAGATAGATAGTTAGGGGATTTAACAACTAGATGTTTAACTTTCGGCATTAAGTTCTGGTTACAAATGATATAATCAACTGAGCTGGTTCCATTTTTACTATGAAAACTTGGTCTTCCGAAGGAGTCACCATTGGTCCGACCATTAAGAATTCTCATGTCAGTACTTTTGCAAATTTCAATAATTTTTTTACCATGATTATTGGTTGTTGAATCAAGGTTTTGTCTTTGTGGTGGTTGAAAGGAGTTACCACTAGTGTCTTGAATGTGATTACTTCCATCACTTGAAATATAATCTTCGAGTTTGCTTGTTCTAGCATTTAGATCACCAAGAAGAAGTATATTTGCTTTGGATGAGAAAAGGACTAGATCATTTTCAAGTTCTTCAAAAATTTCGTTTTCAAAGTACTTTGATTTTTCAGGTGGGATGTATGTACCACACATGTATAGATCCCGATCAGAGTTTAAGATTTCTTTGGAGATTTTGCTCCACAAAAAAATTTTTTGTATTCTTAATAATGCTTACATATTTCTTAAATTTGCTTTTGAATAACAGGCTAATGCCGCCTGATTTTCGGCATGCCCGGTTAGTAACTGGTTTGGCTGTTTCAGAAATAATAGCCTCAAATCCTGGAATGTTTAAACATGTGTTTGTCCATGTTTCAGTTATAAATATGAAATCGATCTTAGAAATAGAATCAATAAAGTCCTTGTTTTTGGTTTTATCTCCAAGGACGCTATTGAATATACCATTAATATTCCAAGTGCTAAATGAAATTCCTGTGCTCATTTTAGATATATCTAATAATTTGATAGAGAATGCTGGAAGTGATTCTTTTGGGGGGAAAAACCCCAATCTTTTGTTTAATAGCAAAATTATGCATGATAGAATTTGAAAGGAGAATGGTTCTAATATTATATTAATTAAATAAAATAGTGATAGTATGGGTTAAAGACTTACAGTTTATTATATGCTTAGGCATCCATAGAGTTGTCTTATCAGGCCAACCAGTTGAGGTGGTAGAGTGTTTATTCGGTTATCTTGGCAAAATGAGGGAGGGGGTGGTCCGGTTCCTTTGTTGATATGTTGAGTGTTGATACGATGTTGGTATGATGGGGGTGAACTTGGTGTTGGTATGATGGGGGTGAACGGTGGGTATATGTTGTTGCGGCCAAATTGGAAAGGTTGTGTTCTCATGTGTTGTGGGAAGTTTTGGTTGTGGATATCTCTTGGGGGATATTTTTTGTTCATTTCCTTCTTTTTAGGTGTGGTGTTAAAGTAAGCCGCTTTAATTGTTCTGACAAAATTATCCAGCCAGTATATCCAGTACATTATCAGTACATGTATTCATCATTCTTGTATTAATCTCTGAACAAAAAACATTTATATTAGAAAGCATAATGACAATGTAATGAGGAGGGCGGGTGGGGATTCTTTTATTAGCATTTGAAAATGGTTGTAACAATTTTGTTTAATTAACTCTAATGACATTTTGCACATTAGTAATGTGCAAAACCAAAATGTATATAAAGTATAATTTTAACTGATGACAACTTTACTTGGTGACAACTTAGTTGGACTGTTGTTTTGAACAGAGTTATAGATCTGAAATACTAGTCTCCCTCGCATGACGTTCTTATAGCTCTAACCCTCGCTAACTAACGTCTGCTGAAACGAGCTTCACGTTCCATTCCCTCCGATCGACCAATCACAGCCAACCTTCTATATTTCGGAAAGTGATTTAAGGGCGGATTAAATAGAACATAAATATTTTATATTTTGAAAGCAGTCGTCGGTTGAATTTTGGTCAAAATTGCACATAAATTGAATTTAAAGACATTGATACTTGTCCAGGAAATAAAATGCGCCATTAATTATCAGATTCGGATATTAAAGATGTTCGGTTATATTTAAAACGTGGACAGGATGGTATACTCGAGGGCATACTGTATTAATCTAGTGGCGACAGCATCAAATGCAGAATATATTTCGCTTAAATTTGAACTTTTGACAGATATATATCTTTAAGACAACAGAAATCAGAAGACAGAAAATTTGATATAATACTGTAGCTTAGAAAGCGAAATATTAGTTTCAAAGTAAACTAATTCGCTGTTTGAGCAACGACTTCTGACTTTTGAATGTAAACACAACACAAATAAAACCCGAGAAACTTTTAATTGCGCCGATATGAATTTCCAGTTCGCCCCAACTTCGAAACGTTTATACATGTAACTTCGCTATACTTTTCTACATGCAACGAGAGCTTAATCTTTTAGAAATTTTCCTCGAAGCCTTGGCATATATTGGAAGAATTTAATAGCAACATTTAGACATATCCTGATTTACTCGTTCTCGAGTTTCCCGTTGCTTGTTTGTCATTCATTGTTAACAAAATTTAAAATTTCGCCTGTTGCAGAGCTTTTGCATTTTATATACGCCGGTTGTTGGCAGAACATGCGAGAAGATGATCACAATATTATTCTACGTAGGCATCATGAAGTTCATGGCTATAGTTTCCAAAATATCTCCACGCAAGTAAACAAATTTCAACCCAAACAATATATTCCCATGTGCAAGGGCTTTCCCCAGTAGCTAAACCCTCAATAAGGCGGCTTCCAATAGGCTCTAACTCTTTTGAACACTGCCAGATGATTGGCTACTAAAACAAAGGGAATGGAATGTGCAGCTCGTTTCAGCAGACGTTAGTTAGCGAAGGTTAGAGCTATAAGAACGACTGCGAGGGAGACTACAGAAATACAGGACCAGGATTGAATTCAATATCTCCTGAGAACGCTAGTTTCTTGTGATATTGTTAATTGGCAATACAAAGCCTGCAGCCAGAGTTTTGACTGCATAAAATATTACACAATGATTGTTTTTATACTGTATAAATGTATATAATAAAATATGTGGTATTTGACTACTTACCAGATGAGGATATGTTTCCATGTTGATAGATAACTTCGGAATAATATCACAAGTAGAATGGTGTAAACAAGACAGCCAATTCAAGATAAAATCAAGGTATTTTTGAAGTCAAAATATGGCAAAGAATAACATGACTTACACGAGGCCAAACTACGCCCGTTCGCAGGTTAGGTACGAGCACAATGTAAACAATTGATGTAAGCTAATCGCTGATTGGCTTAATTATATAAGCAAGTCGCCGAATGGCTATGTGTAACAATAATAGTAATCTGCTTCGCAAATACAAAAATAAAGATATACACCGGCACTGTATATACCTGCAATTTTTTTTTCATTATAAAAGTGTATTTTCCCAATTTAGATTGGGTGGGTGGGTCATGAAATAAATTTGGTAAGATTGGATGGGCTTTGAAATTTTTATCTACATCCTAAGATGAGTCACCAAACTTATTGGCAAAATTTGTGATTTTACCTCCAGCCCACCCTAGCAGTTATTTTATGACCAGTCCCTTATCAACGATAAGCGTAAACAAACATTGTTAAATCGGAAATCTCCGATTCATGCAACGTTTGGTATATGATGGAACCATTTATGGACATACATGTAAACGTACAAACAAGCGTATAATGTGGAAAACTCCGAGATTTAGTAAAACAGACCAGATTCAAAAGCGACTGCATTTAGCGCTTACTTTTAAGTAGACGCCAAAAATTATTGCAAATAATTATTTTGGTCACCCATGCACTTATTAGAAAATTGTAGGCAGCCGCCTTTAAAACATTCCGAAGAAAGACTATAACATTTCCTTGGCTTGTATTTCTCATGCATAAAATATTAGAGACCTTACGATTTTAGGACGGCAACACGACGGCAACGGCTACCAACACAATAGATCATTGAGAAGAATTGAGTAATTATAATAATTATATGAATAATTTAGACATTGTCCTCGCTCTGTTTACAACGCCAAATCACAGATTTTCACGTCTTGATACAACGGTTGCATTCCAAGCCGCAACAAGTGCAACTTCAAACTGGGTTTAGCAGAACTCCTCCCAATCATAAAACCCATGTCTTCAACTTCTAAAACTCTATTAAATTCATACGATTGATCATATACCACGAACTATCTTTACTACTATTTACTTGAAGCAGTTTGTTTTGGCCGTCGCCGTCGCGTTGCCATCCTAAAACCGTAAAGTCTCTATTCAATACTTACTCGACGGCGTTGTCGCTGGTGAGATCGCTATAAAATAAAAGAATATAAAACGTTATTGAAAAGAATTAATTTGATTACCTAGTTATTAGAAAATTGCAAGGTGCCGCCATTAGAACAGTTCGGAAACTCTCACATTTCCTTGGCATTTTTTTTCTCATCAAATATTCTATACTCACTCGGAGAAGACATTGCTGGTGAGGTCGCTATAAAATAAAATAATATTAAAACGTTATTAATTTTAAGAAGAATTTTTTTGATTACCTAGTTCCTAAAAAATTATACGAGCCGCCTTTAAAACATTCCGAAGGGAAACTCTCACATTTCCTTGGCATTTATTTCGAATAAAATTTCTATACTCACTCGGAGACGTTGTTGCTGGTGAGGTCGCTATAAAATAAAACAATATTAAAACGTTATTAAGAAGAATTATTTTGATTACCTATAAGTTCCTAGAAAATTATACGAGCCGCCTTTCAAACATACCGAAGGGAAACTCTCACATTTCCTTGGCTTTTAATTCTCATAAAATATTCTACTCACTCGGAGACGCTGTTGCTAATGTGGTCGCTATAAAATAAACGAATATAAAGAATTATTGCAAATAATTATTTTGGTTACCTATGCAAATATTGGAAAATTGTAGGGAGCCGCCTTTAGAACATTCTGAAGGGAAACTCTCCCATTTCCATGGCTTTATATCTCATAAGATATTCTATACTTACCCAAAGATGTAGATGCTGGTGTGGTAGGGGCTATAAAATAGAAGAATATAAAAAAAATTATTGCAAAGAATTATTTTGATTACCCATAAAGATTGTGGGGAACTGCCATTAAAACATTCCGATGTCGAAATCTCCTATTTCCTTGGTTTTTACATTTCAAAAAAAATTCTATACTTACACAAAGATGTAGATGCTGGTGGGGTAGGGGCTATAAAATAGAAGAATATAAAAAAAATTATTGCAAAGAATTATTTTGATTACCCATAAAGATTGTGGGGAACTGCCATTAAAACATTCCGATGTCGAAATCTCCTATTTCCTTGGTTTTTACATTTCAAAAAAAATTCTATACTTACACAAAGATGTAGATGCTGGTGTGGTAGGGGCTATAAAATAGAAGAATATAAAAAAAATTATTGCAAAGAATTATTTTGATTACCCATAAAGATTGTGGGGAACTGCCATTAAAACATTCCGATGTCGAAATCTCCTATTTCCTTGGTTTTTACATTTCAAAAAAAATTCTATACTTACACAAAGATGTAGATGCTGGTGGGGTAGGGGCTATAAAATAGAAGAATATAAAAAAAATTATTGCAAAGAATTATTTTGATTACCCATAAAGATTGTGGGGAACTGCCATTAAAACAATCCGATGTCGAAATCTCCTATTTCCTTGGCTTTTATATTTCAAAAAAATTATATACTTACACAAAGACGTAGATGGTGGTTGTTCCAAGAATTATTTGATTAACCATTTTATTGGAAAATTGTGGGGAGCCTCCCTTAAAACATTGTGAAGCGAAACTATCCCACTTCCTTGGCTCGTATATCTCCGAAAATATTCTATATATACGCGATGTCGTACGCGTGATTGTTGTCGGATATAAAATAAAAGAGTTTAAAAAAATCATTGAAAAGAATTATTTTATCACCAAACAATTGTTGGAAGTGATTTTATGACATCAAAATAAATATAGTTGTCCAAAAATTATTACAAGATTGACGAAAACAGTATATCAAATGTATTTACGTCTTAAAATTCCAGCAATAAATGTTTTATAAGAAAACGACAATTGTTGCAAGAGTTCGATAATACACACAAAAGTTGTATTTTCTATTTATTCTTGCTTACAATCGGTACAATAATGATATTTTTCATTTTATATGTACACTTCAACATATAATCCTTCCAAGCAAACTGTCTACTTTCCGACTCCTTACCTTCTCCCTCGTGCTCTCGTATTACGTCATAGTTAAATTATATTGTTCTTACATAAAATATGTCCCAACGAAACACAACAATCTATTACATTTTATTAGAAATTATAATCCGGAGTCAACATTAATTTATCTTTCCATCCTGCATCAATCGCCGCTGCTTTCTCACTCTTCATGTCTTCCTAATCTCCTCGGTTTCATCCTTCCATTTCATTTTTGTTTCCTGATCTAAACTGATTTCTAATGGTACTAACCTTTGTAATGGTCTGTGCAATCTACTAGGTTTCCCGTCTTTGATCGTCCTTATCTTCGCTCTACGCACAACCCTTTCACGACCAACCATTAACTTCTCAACAATACCGGTACGCCACTGACCACGCTTCTTACCTTCTTCGGAGACAATCTCCACCTCACCTACCTTAACTGTCCTGGCATTGTTCTTGTTGCCCTTGCCATCGTGATGCTCCCGTAAATCGCTCAAATACTCCCTGTGCCGATGATTCCTGAAATGTTTCAGTTTTGTACTCAAATACAGAAATCTCGCCCCAACATCTACCTCGCCCCAGTCCTCGTCATCATCGAATCTTGGCCATTCTTCTTCAGACTTACCTAAACATTATGGACCATTCCACCACTTATCACATTCCTTCAACTCAAAAGCCTTGCATCCCCGCGAACCTATGTCAGCCGGGTTGTCAAGTCCCGGACAATGCCTCCAAACCATACCCTTAGTCAATCGCAAAATTTCATCAACACAATGCTTAACAAATTGTTTCCATTCCCCCTTATTCTGAAGCCAATACAGAACTGTAATACTGTCTGTCCACAACCCAACTCGCTCAAGAACTTGTTCGCTACACATTGCTCGCTTAATGGAATCAACCAACTGCGCCAGTAACCAAGCTCCCATTAGTTCCAATCGTGGTATGCTTAATTTTTTGAGAGGAGGAACCCTAGGTTTACTTGCCAGTATACTTACCTCTGTTCCTACACTGATCTTATACACAAAATAAACAAGAGCACTGTATGCAGCCTTGCTTGCATCTGAGAACCCATGGAGATGCCAATGACCGTCCAACTCACGTCCACTTACCTTGACACATCTATTTATGCAAATTTCTCCAACCTTACCCATTTGTCCAAGACAACTGTTCCATTTTTGTTTGTAGATACCGTGAAATTCGTCATCCGAACCCAAACCGGCAACACACAACTCTTGAAAGAGTACCTTTAATTCAACCAGTATTGAACTAATCAGGCCTAACGGGTCAAATATATCTGCAAGTAGACAAAGTACATTTCGCCTAGTTGCCACCCATTCAACTGCCCTTTGTACCACATCAAAGCTAAATTTAATCGCGTCCCTATCATTAACCCGCGCAAGTCCTAATACTTTATGCTCACCAGATTTACTTGTACACCTAAAGTAGATTTGGCATAGCTTATGTGATCGGATTCCCCTTCTACACTGTCTATGCCTTCCTTCACCTCTATTCTTTTTAACAAGAACTTATCGTAACTTAACCACTATCGAAGCTTGAACCCACCACTAGCTAACCTATCCTTTGCCTTCTCATATAGCGTATATGCCTTGTCTGTTGTGCACTCACCGGATACCAAATCATCTACACAAAACGACTCAAGCATTTTCCTAACAAACGGTTCGTCTATAGCCTTATACTTGAAGAAATGATAACCTGATTCCACCATTTCCTTGGGACTTCTCTTTAAGTTGTTTAATGTTGGATTCGTAGTATTTTGCCTTGAAGACTTTTCTTTCTCTGTTGACACAATTTCGGTAATATTTAAATTGGGAGGAATGTACACCGTGCGCATTGAAAGCTTTTTGTCTCTTAAAAATTAGGGATTTAAGCTTCTGGTTCATCCATGGAGCGTCAGCTGGGTGAATATGCAGTGGCGTAGCCAGACCTTCATTTTTTTTTTTTTGGGGGGGGGGGAGCGAACCACAGGACGAAAATTGAGATTTAAGTGAACTGAAATCAACCTTAAAGTTATACAATTGGAACATTTCAGGTGTCTTTTATGGCATCATTAATTATAGAATGAACTTTTAATGAGAATTTAATTCTGCACTTAAAGCAAAGTATTGACGCATTTCAGGTCTCTCTGAAATGTTTCTTAAAGTTCATTAAAAGAGAATTTACTGGACCTTTAATGTTCAACTTTAAAGGTTTGAAAATGCTTGTTTAGGCTTCCTTAAAGTGATCTTAAAGGTGCATTAAAACAACTCTGTCTTTAATAAGGCTTTAAGGTCTTACTTAAATGTTTGAAAATGCATCTTTATAGATTTCCTTAAAGCGATCTTAAAGGAACATTAAAATATTGCAATGCTGAAGGGTTTGCTGTCAGTAGATTTAGTCAGGCTGATGCGCCTCAACGGTGCTTATCTGCATACCGTGCGAGTGAAACACCGCTTGCTGACGGTAGGCTATTCCAAAAGCGGTAATTCGAAGGCAAAGCAGATAGCGTGGTTGGCTGTTCATCTCGACAACAAGATATTCTTGAAGATATTCACGTAGAAGCAAGCGTCGAGCCTCTCGAAGTTTAGAGTCATTAAGAAGGAAATGGCTGAGACGTAATAAGAAGGAACGCGAAGCCATTAAAATCATGTCTAAATCTGAAAGAAAGACAAAATATTCTTCCAGGGCTAAAAAGGAAGTTGAATCTGAAATATTGGTCAAAACAGAGAAGCGACAGAGGGAATTGAAAGAACGTTTATAGAATGCTGCATTAAGTACCAGGTGCGATATGAAAAGGAAAAAGAAAAAAACTAAAAGCTACAGGTAATTAGTGTTTCATATTTATTTATGGTATTTATATTAAAAACTTTTGTATTATTATTATAAAATACAGTCATACAGGGTTCGAGATTAATAGAATTTCCCCCTAGTAGCATTAATATGGATACCAGCACTTCAAAATTGGTATCCAAACTCAAAAACTGGTATCCAAATGTCATATCCATTGAACTGAGAACTTCAAAAGTTACATACATAGGACATTAACAGATTGAAGTCTTTGATACTTCCCAAATTAATTGCCGTGCATTTCACAATCAATAACAAATTGCATATGTGTTACACTAATTTCTGGTTGTCAATTTATCCTGGGCATTATTTGACCCCGTAATGGGTTCCAAGTTTAATGTTGAACCTAACCCTGCCTAGCCTCCTGTGCAGATGTTGCTAGTGGCCAGCGTGCCAAGAATTTGCTGGTATCCAAAGTTTTGATATCTGCCATCTGGTATCGCAAATTGAAAAGTGGTATTGTCAGGATACTGCCAATCTCAAACCCTGCACTCATGGTGTATAGGTAGCAAGCCGTCCAATGGTCTGCAGTTTATTCAGTCTACTTGATCTCCACAGTGTTACTGACAATACAGTACTGATTTAAAAAAGTAGTACAAGTGCATTTGCACCGGTACACTCAAAAGTATATCATATTGTCACTGAACTTAAATATAACCCTAATTTCAAACATCTCAATGCTGTCATTAATTAATACAGATAATAAATAGAGCATACAGTATACAAATAATGAATGTTTATGGGTGCAATGGTAAGAATATTTTCATGGGGTGAAAGATGGAATGTTCCATTCAGCGAGGCGACAGCCGAGTTGAATGGAACATTCCATCTTTCACCGAATGAAAATATTCTTACCCGATTGCACAAATAAAAACATTCATTATTTGTTTTATATAATACCAAAATAGACTAATATTAAAAGGTTTACGGTAAGCTCCCGCCATTTTGACGAGTCGTATTTGCATTAAATCCCATTTACTGAGTTTCGATTATCGGGTTAAAATAAACTGCAGCGATTATCGGGTTAAAATAAACTGCAGCGATCACCGTACGAGAAGCATTTTGACGGATGCGATTTATCGAAAACACAAAGAGTGCAATGGAATAAAACATATAGTACAATTGCACTCGCAAGAGTGAAGAGTGCAATGGAACGTATATTCCATTGCACTCTTGGGAAATGGAATTTTCTATTCAATATCACGTGACCATAAACAGCCAATTAAACGATCAGAATTCAATAAGGTATTATATAATATATACTGTACCGTATTATAATATCTGAATGTACTGTAATCCAGCCCATGACCATGATATTTCTTTTCATTTACAGCATACAATATTATATATTTGAATTATCAGTTCATTATAAATTTCAAACACCAAATGTTGATGTATAACCCCTATGGCTGTACTGTATAAAATGCTTACAAAGGAACATGAATGAGCCCAAGGATGGCGGGCAGTTACTTTACTTCATAAGGCAGCAAGCTGAAGAAGCGCTACTGTACAGTGTATATAAGTATATATCACCTCATACTCTGTACAGTAGTTACGGGGCATATCCAGACACTGGACAAATGTCACTGGACACTATCCAATATGCAACCTAAAACCTGCTTTATTGTGTTTTTGTATTTTACTGCTTTTACATGTACAAGTATGTCATTGTGCATTCTGTTTTATTGTTAGCAATACCAGTACTACCAGCCTAGACCTAGGCCTTCTATTTTTGTTTATATTTTTTTAATATTCAGCGCTTTTTCATATGAAAAGACTGGGACTAGGTAATTTGGGGGCGGGGCGGAGGAAGGACACAAGCCTGACGCAAGCGAAAATATAGAAGGCCTAGTGGATTTCCCAACAACAAGGCCAAAACTGCCCTGAAACTGCCCTGATTGCGAAATGCCCAATTGTTGCGTTCTCAAACAGAATTATTTGCAACTTAACAGCGAATTTAAACCGATACAGGTAAACTAAACTCATTTATAGTATAAACTTACTATTTTTATTTGTATACACGTCTAGAAAATCGGGTTTTTTATCATAAAGTTTGAAGCAACACTATTTATATATGTTGACAAGGTGTAGCGAAACGGCACAAAATAATAATTCTTTTATTCGCAAGACAATCTACTGTTTTGCTTTGAATAACTATATTTGCGAATTGGGAATGAGGAATTTGAAATTAGTGTTCAAATATTACAGATATACCATTTGTATAAACAATGTACGTTTTTATATACAGTACTGTACGGGCTAATAATATATGTATCCGTTTTATTTTGTATATTTTACAAACACAAGACTGCTTCATGCCAAAATTGAGAAAATATATATTAATGTACTTGTGTATAAGACAAAATTTCATGAAAGATTCTACTTTTGGTATATATTTTGACTCATTTTGTTCTTTCGCTACACCTTGTCAACATATATAAATAGTGTTGTTTCAAACTTTATGATAAAAAACCGATTTTCTAGACGTGTATACAAATAAAAATAGTAAGTTTACACTATAAACGAGTTTATTTTATCTGTATCGGTTTAAATTCGCCGTTAAGTTGCAAATAATTCTGTTTGAGAACGCAATAATTGGGCATTTCGCAACCAGGGCAGTTTCAGGGCAGTTTTGGCCTTGTTGTTGGGAAATCAACTAGGCCTTCTAGGCTTGCTTCCTACGCCCCGCCCCCAAATCACCTAGTCCCAGTCTTTTCATGTGAAAAACCGCTGAATACTA